TATAATTGAATATCTCTCCTGTTGGTGTTTCTATTGCTGGTGCTAAGTTCTTTATTGCTTGTAGTAATATTAATATAGCTCCTATTTTATAGTTATTAGTTGGTTGTAGCCGTGTTATTAGTCTTGTACAGGATATTTCTATATCTTGGATTATTTGAAATTTTGTTCTTGTTTTAGTATTTCTTTTACTGGATTAAATTTTGATAAGTTATTTGAGAAAAACCAAATATATTTGAATTGGTTTTTTAAGAATTCTTGTCTTCTTTCTTCATTTCTATTTCTTCTGTTCTGTCTGTTGTTCATTTACTTCCAAAATAGTTCTTTAATTCTTTCAAGTTCTTTTACTATTTCTTCAATATTCTTTTCTATTGTTTGGTGTATTATTATTTTGCTGAAATCGTATTTATTCTGGATCGTTTCCAATTTTTTTGCAAATTCTTCGTTTGTGAATATGAATTCTTCAAGGTCTATTTGTAATTTTAATAAGTCTTGTTCGTATTCTTTTAATTCAAATATGTCAATTATATCAAGTTGTTTTGGTCCGTATAAGATGGTTAAAGTTCTGTTGATTTCGTCAAGTATTGTAAGTAGATTTTCTTTTTTGTCTGTATCGTGTAGTTTTAATTGTAAGCAAGAGTATAAGTCTCATACTCTTATTACTTGCAATTTTAATTCTGTGTTTGTTAGGTCTAAGAATAGGTCTAAATTAATTAAATCTTGTAGTCCTTCTTGGTATTGTTTAATTACTTGATCTGCTTGTTCTCTTGTACTTTCTTTAATCTCTGAAGTCATTGAATTCTATTTTGAATAGGTTTTCTTGTTGTCCAATTTGTCTGTAATTTATTATGGTGTTGGCTATTTTGTTTACTATATAGCAAACTCCAAATACTATTACAATATCTTTTAGTAGCAATATAAAGTGTAATGATGCTCTGTCGTATGCTACTGCTATTATAGCTAAGTGGTTCATCCGCAAAAAGGTTGTATTGATTAGTGGTAGCAATAAGTTTACTAATTGTTTCAGTATTAAATTTGGTTTAATAGTTCTTCAATTGATTTTAGTATGTCTGATTCAATGAACTTAGTTGTGATTAACTATTCTATTTGTTCTTCAAATAATTCGATAAAGATATTAGTCTTGTTCTGTAATATAATCGTTGTTGAGTTGCTTTGATGTCTGTTTGTTCTGATAATATCAGGTTCTTATATTCGTCTAAGGTATCTCTTATTTTGATTTTCCAGTACTGTTTGGTTCTAGGCATTCAATTCTGATAGTCTGATTATTCTTTGATTGATTAGGTCGTGTACGTATTCAGGTATTACTCTTCTGTTCTTTAGTTGAGATATTTTCTCTAATGTTGTATATACTAAGTTGTGGTTATTTATTCTAGCTCTTCTTACTAAGTTTATTAGTAATCCATATTGTATATGGATATGTGATATCGAGTTTCTTGTCAGACTCCCTATTAATGGTAAGTTTCTTTGTAGGTCATTGTCTTTTATTACTTTAGTCTGGTATACTTCTTGTAATACTCCTCTTAGGAATATTAATACTAACTGTGAATATGTTATAGGCTCTTGGGTATTTATTATTCTGTTAGATCTGTTTCATATAGTTATATAATTGTTTACTGATAGTTTCTTTCAGTATCTAATTAAATCTTTTATTGTTAGATCCTTTTAATGGTCCTCTTTGTTTATATTGTTTGGTATTTTCACACTTCAGGTTTAGGCTATTGCAGCTTTTGCAAATTAATTGGTCTGGTACGTAAATGCACCTTATTCTAGAGTTTCTACAGTTGTCACAGGCTTTAGTATTTCTTGAGGAGTTTCTTGTATATTTCATATAATAGTTTTTCAGGTTTTTTGTATTCGTATTGTTGTATGCATTATGCATAGTCTTGGTCAAGTTTAATTGTTGGTCTTTTTATATTTTCCGTTCAGTTATTGTTTTCAAAATTTGTTCTATATTGTTCTGGGTTTGGCGTATTGCCATGGTAAATATTTGTGATAAGTTATAATGTAAAGATAATGATATATTGTTTTTAAATAATTCGGCTAATTATATGATAAACTAAATATGGTTATTTGTCAGTTGTCGACGTGCTTGTGCTAAATTTAATAGTTTTTCTGGCACTTTCTTCCAGGTGCTCAATTCTTCTTTTGAGTACGTAGTTTTCATTTTTGAGGTCTTTTACTTCAGTTTCTAGAGTCTCAATTTGTAGTAGTGATTTTAGTATTGATTTTTCTAGTACTAATAATCTTAGTTTCAGGTCTTCATTTTCTGCTTCGTTTTTTGATTGTAGGTTCAATACTATTAATGTTAACTTTTTCAGATCTGAAGCATTTTGGGATATGTCTTCTTGGTACTGGTCTCTTGTAATTTCTTCAATATATTCATCTAATTCTTCAATATTTTGCGGTTCATACTTGAATTCATCATTCTCTTTATATCCTTCTTCACTTTCTCTATACCATTGTATTTTCTTTAATAATTTTTCTTTTTGATTTCTTGGTTTTATTATTTCTTCAACTGGTTCTAAATTTTCTTCCATTTTTTGTTTAGTTTGTTCCTTTTCTTCAGGTTCCTTATCTAGGTTGATCGTTTTTTCTTCAATTTCCATAAGGCATTCTAAACAGTATTCATTTTAATAATCTCTGTTTTCAGTATTTACTTCTGATATTGGCATTAAACATGCTTTACAAAGGTTCCAGGCTTGTATTTCCATTTGTTCTTGGTAATCATCCAATTTTCCTTTTTCTTTTATATTGATAATCATTGAATTTTCCAATCCTATTGTTAGTCTTTCATAATCACTGTTGTAGTTCTCAAAATTTTCTTCAGTTACTTCTTGGTTTCTATTTTGATAATATTGGTGGTAGTTCATAATGTCGTCTGTTCGTTCGTCAGTAATAATTTTAAAGTTTTGATTATTATAGTCCCATTGGTCTGTTTCGGTCATATATTTATAAATTCTTTTAATTTTCGATTCATTAATGTGGTAATGAGTATTAGTTTGATTTCTGGTATAGGTATGGATTTTCTTCATTATTTCTCTGTCATCTGTCATTTGTTCTTCTAGTTGGTAGATGAGGTTTCAAATTTCTCTTCTTTATTACAAAAGAATCGTGTTTGCCAGTTTTCCATTTTTCTTTTGAGTCCTTGTTTTTCGCATAAATAGCAGTTTACAAGTCTTCCTTGTCCTATGGTCTGATAGTATTTTTGTGCTTGTTTATCTCTAATGTCAAGTTCTTCAAGATATTCTCGGTAATATCCATTACACATCATTTGTTCTGGTAAGAATATGAGTTCAAAGTTTCTTGGTGATTTGTATAGTCCTTGGATGTAGTATAAGTTTGCAGATGCTGTAGGCTTATTGCAGTTGCAGTAATAGTGATGGTCTCGGCTTTTTGAGTATGAGGCCTATTCTGTATGTTGTTGTCATTTTAACAAGATTTCTTCTACATTGCATCCGTATAATAAACTTTCATTCTCTTTTAATACTTTATATGTTTTGCAATTTTCGTTTCTATAGTTTTCTCCACAAAATTTGCATATAAATTTTTTTCGTGATGGTTCTTGTTGATTATTTCAATTTTGGTTGTTATTCCTATTTGGGTCACTATAGGCTTTTCGCGAATTATTATTTGATTGGTTAGTTCTATTCGGACAATCTCTTGATTGGTGTCCTAGTTTGTTACATGTGAAACATTTCTGGTCTGGACAATATCTATTTGTATGTCCTTTTCTATTGCATATTCTGCAGATATATTCTTTTATACTTTGTCTTTGTCGAATTTCATTTAGGGTCTTGTTAAAGGTTTCTTCGCTGTTAGTGTATTTGTTAAATGCTTTTGCCATTCTTTCTTCGATTGTTACTTGGTCAATATTCTTTTAGAACTCTTCTTTTGAGATTTCTTGAAATTCTTCATTGTATTTTCTGGTTTGTTCTAAACTTGCATTTTCTAATTCTTTGTCTATATGGTGAAATCGTATAAGGTGTTCTCCAGGGTTGTCAATGTACTTATCGCATTTTTCACAGTAATTCATTTTATTTTCTTCAGTTTCAAGTCTTACTGCAATTTGTACTGTTGCAAGTTCATTTTCACTCATTCCTGTTCAATACATTGTTAAAAGTGTTGCTTGATTTCTTATAGTTTGGCAATTATGGTTTTCCAAGTTCTCAACATGTTTTTCACACCATTGGCAGTAGTTTGATTCGTTCATTTTAGTTTTTCTTCAATCCTTTCTATAAATTTCTTAAGGTTAATTCTTGTTAGTTCAACTATTTCTTTAATAGTTCTTTCTCTTTCTTCAGTGTAAGTTGGATTTGGTTTTGCTGGTCTAAAAGTTTGTTTATTTATATTATCTATTAAGTCTTTTGTTTTTTTTGAGGTGATAAGGAAGTTTTCTTCCTTTTTCAATTTTTCAAGTTCTTGTATTGTTATTCTATAAAAGTTTTGTAGTTCTTTTCCTGGTTTACTATCATAATTACAGTCGTGTGAATTATAGCTTTTGTATCTCCAGCCTGAATTGCAATCAATGCAGTGATGTAATGCATCTTCGTAGAGTCATTTTCTTAACCAGTTTATGGTATCAATTTTCTGGTGATAATTCCTAGTTTTGTTTTGTTCTTCAAACATTATTTCTTCTAAATACTTTATTATTCTTTTTTGTTCTTCTTTAAACGTTGGTTCTTCTAATTTTGCATTTCTTGTTTTTGTTAAGATTTCTATTTTCTTTTCTTTATTAATTAGGTTTTGATCTTTTTCAAGTTCTTTAATTACTTCGTTAATTAATATTCCAAGTTTACTTTTAGTTATTTCTGCTCTAATCATTTAATAGTAACTTCCTCGCTGGTTTGCTGAGTATAGTATTTCCAGTTGTTCTGAGTAATACTTTTGTTTTAGTTTCAATAGTTTTTGGTTTATTTCTTCTTTAACGTTTTCAGTTCTTTCTGGGGTTAGTTGAATTGCCTTGAAGTTGGTTAGATTGTAATCTAGTCTCCACTTCGCAATTGTTTTTGTATTAGGTTGTTTAACCAATATCTGTATTCAAAGTCTTCTGGTTTTTGTTCTGCAAGGGTTATTGCTCCTAAAATAATTAAATATTTATCAAAGTTCTCTAGGTCTCGTTTGTCTTTTGGTTTGTTAAATTCCTTATAGAGTAGACTATTTTCAATTTCTTGCTGTTCTTCAGTGTATGATATAGTTGTTGTTTCTGATTTCTTGATATAAGTTATATTATAGTTTTCTATCTTTAATTCTTGTTCAGGCTCCAAATAGTTTATTCGTTTCTGGCAGTTGGTCATATAGATCTTGGTTATTCAATTTACTTCTTAATACTGTTAAGGTTAAACAGTTTATATGATTCAGGTTTCTGATCCTAAATTGTATCCAAGATTCTATTGCTTCGAGTTCAAGTTGTTTTAGGGTTATGATTCCAGGTACTGAATTTCTGAATTGTTCGATTTGTTTCTTAATTATTCTTTGGTTCCTTTTCAATTCTTTAATTACATGTTGGGTATCTACCATTTAGGTCTATTGTAGTTTTTCTGTTATGTTTTGAATATCCTTTAGTCAGTTGTTCGGGGTGTCTTTATATAATTATTTCTTATCAGTAGTTTATTCCAAATCTGAATTTGTATTACTCATTGATTTGTATTTCATCAATGAGTTCTTTATTTGTGTCATGTAAACATTCAATAAACGCGTCCCATAATCTTTGTTTATTTTGGCGTCTGAAGATGTGTTCAAATAAATGATAAGGTAAATCTTTCTTATTTCGATTTTGGCCTGGTATGTTATCTTTAAGAATTCGCCAAGTGCACTCAATGTTGTTTGTATGCATTATTTTTAGTTCATTTGATCTTTCATCTATTTCTGTTATGGTCATTTCTTTACTGTGATTTATTTGGTGATGTGCAATATTCAGCCGTTCATATATTTTGTCATAACTTTTGAACATATCTGTATAGATTGTCGATTCTAGATGTATGTGTTTCTGAATTAAGTCTAATAACGTTTCAGATGTTCTATCTGGTACTACTTCTGCAAAAAATTCTTTTGTGTTTCGAGATATTTCTCCGAATACCTATACTTTGTTTGTTTTATTGTTTTTCCTATCTTTGTAAAATATCAATTCGTCACATTCTACAATATCATCTTTGCCTCCTATTTTGTTCTCATATTCTTTAATTTCTTGAGTCACACATGTTCTAAATATTTTGGTTCAGTGTATTATTGTTGGTAGTGATATTCCCGTAAAGATGTTGATTTGTTTTCTTCTGGCTTTAGCAAGCCAATAATATCTGATTAATAATATTTGGTTGCAAGATAAGTTGGTGTTTGAAAAGATTGTGCCATTGAATAATGATATCTTTAATCTACAGTCTCAATTTGGGCACTTAAAGACTTTATCACTTTAGGTCATTTGCCATAAACAATAAATATTTAGACATTCCATTTCCCGAGGTAGTATTTCTTTAGTCATCAAGTATTCTATGCATTTTGATTTATCTTCAAAAATTTCTTTAAGTTTGTGGTATGGTGGTATTGGTCTAGTACTGGAAATATTGATTTCTTCCATCAGATGTTTTCTTATCTGTTTTAAATAGATTTGCCTTTTTCAGCTTTGAGTTAGGTTTATCTCTGCTGATAGTTTCGTTGGGTGCCGTCGGGTTAAGGTTATTGCGAATATTTTGTAAACTTGGTACGTTGGGCACCTTTATATCTTTATCTTTTATTCCAATATTTAATTTTACAATCTGATTTCCATTCTTATCTATTTCCATTTGTCTGCTTAGCCAATCTGCTATAGTGCTATCTTTTCCTTTGATACATTCTACAGTCCAATTAAAGTCTTGTAGTTTGATAAGCCATCTTTCCATAGTTTGATTTCTTGGCATTTTTCCTGATGAGTCACTTATGCCAGTGTTATCAGTTCGTACAATTACATTTTTGAATCCTATGTAATGTTTCCAATAGTTTAAGTAAAAATATATTGTATAAAGTTCTTTCTATGTACTTCTCAATAGTTGTTCATTGGGTTTTAAAGTATGTGATGCTAATTCAATTATTTCTTCTTCTAATTTGGTGTAATCATCTTTATCTTTTGTTCCATTCATTTGTGCATCTTTTGTTTTGTAGTGTGCTAGATTTGGATTGATTTGTTTTAAGCACGCACCTATTCTTTTATCTGAGGCGTCAGTCTCTATTATCAATTGATATCCTTTTTTGGGATAAGTTAATGCTATTGCATTATACACCTTATCTTTCAGTGTTTCAAATACTTTTTGGTGTTTTTGTATCTATTCGAAGTGTAAGTTTTTCTTTAGTAGATCATATATTGGTCTTGCAATATCTCCGAATTTTGGTATGAATCTCTGAAAATAATTCATTGATCCCATGAATTGTTGTACACCTTTCTTATCTTTTGGTGGTTTGATTTTTTGTACTTCTTCTTTTTTCTTTTAGTTAGATAATATTTGTCCATGTCGTACTTTATGATTTAATATCATTATTTCTTTCATTATGAATTCATATTTTTCAGCTTTTAGGGTTAGGCCCGCTTTTTTTATGCATTCAAACACTGTTTGAATATGTTGAAAATGCTTTTCTATAGTTTGACTTCCAATAGTTAAATCATCCATGTATACATATACATAATCTAAATCTTCAAATAACTGAAACATATATCTCATCATATATGCTGGTGCTGTGCTAATTCCTATCAGACATTTTGTAAATCTAAACTTTCCTACTTCTGGAAAGTATGCAATACTTTTGTCTCTATCTTCTATTTTTAATGGAAACTGATAATAAGCACTTTTAAAATCACAGGTCGAAAAAATTTTTTGCCTTGCTATTTTTTGGAGTATTACAGGTATGTTTGGTATCTTGAATGGATCTTTCTTTAGATATTTGTTTAATAGTATATAATCTACTGCGGCTCTATAGCTGCCGTCAGGTTTTGGTACTATTACTAATGGTGCTATCCAGCTTACTCTGGAAGGTTCAATTATGTTTGATTTACTAAGTTCTTTATATAATTTCTTTGATTGTTCTATTTGTTCATCAGAATAATTTCTTAGAGGTCTTGCTTTATAGTTCTGTGGTATGTCTCTTTCTGGAGTATCTAGTTCTAATTCTATTTCTTCAAGTCTTTCAAAGTATTTTTTGTTAAAGGTTGTCCCTTTTTCTTTCTTCATTCGGAATATTTCTATATATTTTATAAATATTAGTCTCATTTTTTCTCTGTATTCTTTATTCGTATTTTTGATAAGTATTTCTATGCGTTCTTTTTCTGTTAATTCTTTTTCTCCAATCTTTATGTTGTACTTGTATTTATTTGTATCATTAAATTCTTTAATTTTCTTTAGATCTTTAGTGATTTCATTGATTGTTCTAATTTTGTCTATTTTTCCGATATAGTCACCTTTTCATATTATTTTGGGTTTGTTTGTATAATTAATTATTCTGATTGTCCAATCATTTATTAATCCGTTTTGTACACATATGCCTTCTTTTGCAATATGCAATGGTGTTGTTACTAAATAATTTTCTGTTTTGTTAATGTTAATTGCCGTCTACGTATTTGGTAATAATACATGTTGATCTTTACTTCATAACGGTTTTCCAGTTCCTAATGTGGGTATTATATGTTTTCTATATTCATTTGATATATGAGCTAATTCCTCATGAATTTTTAGTTTAATTTCTTTCTTTAATTTAATTAGTTTTGTTTCTAGTATATTAATTTCTTTATCTTCATTTCCATATCTGTAATCTGGTGTTTTCCTTTATAACTAGGTGTTCCAGGTCTATTAGTTATTGGTTTTAAATATGGTGAGTTGGATTCTTGGTTTATTCCTATTTCTATAGGATCTTGGTTATACTCTGTTATTATTGATGGTCCTTTATTCCTTAGTTGTTGTTCTTGTTGTAGTTTTAGGTATTCATTTCTAAGATTATTTTTATCTTCTTCAATTCGTTGTCTATAATCTTTCATTGTTATTTTCTTTCTATTTTCAAATGAATCTTTTCTTTGTCTTTCAAATTGGTTTGTCGGTTGACTAATTTGTATTATAGCTTGGTCTTTTACTACATTTTTAGCTATGTTTTTATTGTTGTCTTTTTTGAAGTATGATGGTGTTATAAAGTTAAGTGTATTTTTTATGAATGACGGTGCTGGTGACTTGGTTTGTTCTTGTTCAATTTGTTCATTTTGTTCTTGTGTTATACTTAAGTTACTTTTTGCTCTTAAGTATCATCTTCTCCTACTTCAAATTCAGTATTTTTTTGATTAAGTATTATGTTTTGTATATTAGATTCTAATGGTATTATACTAGGTATGCTATCCGTATCTTTGAACGTTAAGCCATCATCTTAGTTCAATAGTTCTTGAAATATATTTCTAATGATTTCTTCATCATCTCTGGATTTGTTACTATTGTATATTGAATTACTTTTACAGGATAAGTCACTTGTCAACTCATTGTTTACTTTTTCCTATAGTTATTAAAGTCTTGCTCAGTGAACAGTACTTGGTCACTTTCTGGTTCTGGTTCATAGAATACGTTATTTGGTAGTCATATCGTGGTTCAAATCTACTTTGTTCTGGTGTTTGGGATGTTGATCCAGGTCTATTCCAGTGTTCTAGTTTGTTTCCAAAGTTATCGAAATCCCTTTGGTAAGTTTTGTCTTCTAATATACTTTCTGAGTCACTTTTTCTATCAATGGTTTCATATAGATTATTTATTTTTTGTTGTTTTTCTTCTTCTAATTGTTTCTGTTTTTCTAACTCTATTTTCATTTGTCTAAGTATTCTTCTTCATTATTCATTTGTTCTATTGATCTTATGTTTTCAGTGTCTATCATTGCAAAATCTAAATACTTCTGATTTGCTTTTTCTCTGATTTCATTATCAGGTTCTAATTCTAATGTTAACAGTAATGTTTGAATTATCGCATGTTTATCTAATTCTTCTATTTTTCCGAATTCTTCCGGTTTTAAGTCTAAAGTTTTTTTAATATCTATCTGATATTCTTCTTCTTTCTTTCTTATTTCTTTCTTTACTGACTCTTTTGTATAATGCTTTTGGTCATCGTACCATGTTAAGAAGTTGTAAAGTTGTTCTTTTTCTGTTTCTCTGTAATTTCTAACTTCTTCTAGTAAGGTTAGTATACTTTTAATTCTTTCTATGATTTTATGAACATCTTTCGAGTTCATTCTATTTACTTTGTTGTATTGGGTTTCAATATCTAATATATTTAGCATTAAATCTTCTAGGTTTTCAGTAATTTCTTCAGAGGTTCCTTTATTTCGTTCTTTTTTAATTTCTTCAAAATCTCTATTTGTTGTGTTCAATAGTCCTGAAAATGCTGCTATTATTGGCGTTTTTGGTTGCTTTACCTTTGTTGGTTTTATTGCTGGCGAATATTTATTTCTGACTTGGTTTATTTTATTTGCTATCCTTCCTGTTTTTTCATCAAGCAATCATTTGCTTTCTGCTTCTTTCTCAGGATTTTGATATTTCTCTTGTCGTTCTATCTTATGGCTTTAGTTATATATTCTATTGGATCTTCTTTGAATTGATATATTTTATGTAATAGTAGTTCTCCATATTGTAATCCTTTTGTTGGGTCTTATTTATTCAATTTCTTGATTCTTGTTTCAAGTTCTTTATCGAGCTCTCTATTACTTGGTAATATGTCATTTGTATAATACCTTAATGTTCGTACTTTATTTATTTGTTCTTTCTTATCCCAGTCCATTTTTCTGGGTGTTTCCAGTATACTTGTATGCATTCTTTGTATTAATTCTTTAAATATTTCTTGTGCTAGCTGTCCGTTTAGCAGGTGTTCGTGGATATCTTGTCCACTTTCAAATACCATTGGTTTTATATTTATTATCTAGCCAGTTCTGGTTTTTTGTATTCTAGTACGTACTACATTATTCATATATAGTAGTCTTATTTCTTTTCCATAATCCTCAATTACTTTGAGGTATTCCTCGAGGTTTTTGTCTGCTCCAGCCACAAAGTAATGTTGTGTGTCAAAACACAACTTAATCCAGTCTATCGCTTTACCGTCTATACCTTTTTTATACCTTTCGTCTTTTGGTATGCTATTCTTTATTTTGAGCAATTCTTCAAATGTTGCTCCATAGCATTTATTTGATACTGAGTTTCAAGTAAGATTATAATGTCAGTTGATACAGTTTGGTGCAGGATATATTTTAGGTTTTTAGTTATTTCTTTAGGATCTGTATCCTTAGTTGATCCTATATGGAGTACATAGTTTCATGCTCCTATATTATGTGCTCTTTGTATTTCTTGCACTATCCTTTTGGTTTTCTAGTTAATTTCTTCTTGTCTGTTCAGCAGTGTACTACTTACTGTTAATCCCATTGAAGCATGTATTACTAGCTTCAATTGGGCCTGTTTATTTTCTTGAATGATCTTGATATCATTCTGGATATCTGGCAACCCTCTTTGCAGAGTCACAAAGTTGCTATAAGCCTCATTTTTGAATTCTCCCTTTACAGGTATGTACTGTACAAAGGTTTGTATGAGATTTGCTCCTGTTT